TTGAGCCAAGGTACACAAAGTCATGAACAACCTCCAGTTCTTTTGTAGAGATGGTAATAGAGGGAGGTGAGTCCACACCCTGGCCCATGACTTGTGTTTTCTTCAGGCTGATTGTTAGTCCAAAGTCTTGGCAGGCCTTGCTAAAACGATTCATGTGTTGTTGGAGGTCTTCAGCAGAGTGGGCAACAATGGCTGCATCATCAGCAAAGAGGAATTCCCGCGTGCATTTCAGCTGGACTTTGGTCTTCGCTCTCAATCTAGAGAGATTAAAGAGCTTTCCATCTGATCTAGTCCGGACACCTTCTGTTGTAGTTCCAAAGGCCTGCTTCAGCATGACAGCAAAAAGGATCCCAAACAGGGTTGGCGCGAGGACAAAAATAGGGTAAGCCGATAGGGTGATCCTATGGATCCATAATTTGATCCTATGGATCAGAGGCTAATTCCTGTTTTAAAACATGCAAGCGAATTGACAGACAAGGCTTTTCTCCAGAAACCCATTTAAATAGAAAGATAAACTCAAGTGCAGTTTCTTTAGTCATCCCTCCTGTTTTGCCTGATGCATATTCCATTCTATAAGCCAAGACAACAGGATCATCAAATGGAAAAAAATCAAATTATCTCTGGAAATGAATTGCAGTGATGAGATCAGAGTATGCTTCCAAGCTCTCCTGAGTGATGAGAGGTCAGCCATCTTCCGTTTTATGGGATGAACATGCCAGCAAAGAGAATTTATTTATGAGTTCTGAGCACCAGGCAAATAACGAGATCCTTAATTGAGTTGGCCTTTATCTTAAGCATTATTTATAAGGATGCTGTCGGGGGGGGGCATGATATGAAAAATAAAGCCAGATTTTTTTTTGTTTATCTTGTTAAGCAGCTACGCCCAAACGGGCTTTGTTTCTAATGTAGAATATCATTATTCTGAAATCAGACGAAAGACTAAGACTTGGCAGAGCAGTTTTGGGGGAACCAGAAAATAATCTCAACTCTAAAGAGGGGTCACTAGAGACCAAGGAGAAAATCATCCATATAAGGAGATTCCTGTTTACTAGGTAAGGATGTGAAACTGGGCAATGAAGAAAACAATTAGGAATGATTCAGTAAAGGAATCGGGGCAGCCTTTAATTTGCAAGACCTGAACAAAGCAGCTATTGACAGGACTTTTTGGAGGTCCTTAATTCACAAAAACGCCGTACGTTGGAAGCCACTTGAGGACACATAACAACAAAAATGATGGCGACTATAATACAGTAAATCTTTTATTAAGAGACCATTCTACTGCAGTGTGACAAACTGATTTTCCTAGACCCGATATATTATCCCACAGTTGCTTGAGACGGCTTGACATTGCCTGGGCAGTTAAGAATCATTAGGCTGATTCCTGTTTTAATACATGCAAGGAAACCAACATACAAGGATTTTCTCCGGAAATCAATTTATATAGAAAGATAAATCCAAGTGCACTTTCTTTATTTGTCCCTCTGCTATGTTCACAGTCACTTGAGATGGCTTGATATTGACTGGGCAGTTAGGATCCAGTAGCTTTACGAACACCCTGTCTGAACAGAAACTACTTAGCATTAGTGTCCCGGTACAGCTTTCCTGTTATCAGAAATCTCCATATAGGATGTGGCGGTGGAGATGGCCATGAGGAGCACCCACCCTTCAAATTTGGTCATGCCACTAACATCCTAAGATGTGCCACCTGGAAACAGGTGTAAAGTACCTCCCTACCTTTGCCTGCAGGCTAATTATTATGCTCCCTGTATTGACCGTTAAGAGGAAACCACGGCCCTCCTGGTTGCGATGAACAGCAAAGGGGAAACCCATGTGTGTGTTTGCCTTCATGTGCATGGATTTCCCCCATAGGATTTTAGCCCCTGACTCTAACAGCCTGATTTAGAGGACAGAAATTTCCTTTTGCCCCAACAATTAAAAGCCAGGACCCCTTGATGCTCTACTGCAAACCAAGACCAGATGTTTAAGCTTCATCAATATTCAGTATCCCCTTTTGAAATATTTCAGGTCAGGAGAGA